AACTTTTTTTTAAAATCCTTTCCTAGTGACCTCCAATATGATGTTTGTCTTCTGCACACCACCACTTTCCTGCCTCCCGTCATTCTAACTCAGATCTCATCTACAAATAAGTTAGTGATTTTGGTCCAGCATCCATCATATTGTACTTGCTTACATTCCGTTCCATTTGCCTTTTAAACGTCTGAGTCCAGAGCCTTTCACCATCTCTGTTTTTAACTTCCCTGACAAGTTGTTGTCAGTAAACATGACCACCTCAGGGTTCCTGCCAAATTTGGAATAAACCTATTTGCAATTGTTATAAAGCCATGATATTAAAGAACACCAACCAAGTACAGATTCTTATGGGACCTCACTCCCTTTTTTTGTAAGAACTCAGTTTGCTCCTAATCTTTATTTTTTTGTTTATTAACCAGGTAGCAATCCCCAACAGGTTCTCTTACTTTATGGATTCTCGATTTCCTAAGCAGTCTTGATGGGGAATCATGTCAACCCCTTTTTTAACAGTCCAGATTAGTAAAGTTTATTGGATCTCCTTTATCCATATACCTCTTGATACAACTAAAGTGCTCTGAAAGGTTAGTAAGGCAAACTTACCTTTCTAGAAGCTATTTATTGTTTGACATGCTTGACACTTTTATCCTGAATACCATTTTTCACCAATTTACCCAGAAGAGACTTCAGTTTAAGTGGCCTGTAGTTTCCTGGAAGGTCCATGGATCTTTAAAAAAAACCCACTCATGTCCATTTTTCAGTCCTCTGGTACAGAGGCTTGTATTAAGGTCATGTTACCAAGCAACGTTAACTGCCTGGCCCTATATCCTTTAAATGGCCATACTTTTGGTGCTACTGGTTATAACTATTTGTTCTCTAACAAATAGGTCCCTTTCAAAAGCTGTGCTCCAGATTGCCAGGTCTTGAAAATGGTTCTCCAGGACACAAATTCCTAAGACTGATGTTCTGAAATTGTAAGCTCCCCCTGACTAGTTAACTTTCAATGGATGGTGTATAGAATCCACTTTGTCTCCAGCTAGCTCAGTGACATGCTTCAAAGATCAGGAACGCCTTTCAGCACAGCTCAGGCCCAAAGCACATGGATTGCAGCCTCCAGCCCAAACCCAAAATTCAACCCTTTTTCACCCAAATTACCTCTCCTGTAGGTTGTTCTGGATTGCCAAAGACTATGGTGGCAGGGGGGTTATAGGAGTTACAGCGTTGCAAGGTTGAGGAAGATGATCATAAGAAGATAAGCTGCTTAATTTCTGTGGGCCATACAACTCTAGTAAATTCATGTGCTGCTCAGAGTCCATTATGATTGGAGTGATACAGGAGCCCAGCCAGTCAATCCATCCATCCTTGGACAGCAGTAGATATTTTGGTAGGGTGGAAGTCAATAGCAAGACCAGGTTTCTGTTGTTTCTGCCTGAACAGTAAGATCTGGTTGGGTCAGCACACTCCAGGGCCCTTCTCTGAAGCAGTGCCAACATTGCACCTTCTTTATAGCTGTACCCACCCTGTGGAACAGCTTCCCTTCCAAGATCCATACAGCCCTGACTCCGTGGTGCTTTCGCAAAGCTGTAATAACCAAGCTCTTTCAGCAGGACTGGGATAAAATAAAGTGATCTGCTCCCTGAGAGTCTCTTTTGGTCTTTGATTAGGGTTCTGTTTTTTCTCCCTGATGTCCTATATTGCTGTTTGGTGGCTGTTCTTGTTTTATTAGGTTTATGCTGTTATTTTAATCCTAAAATGTAAGCCATTCATGACTGAGGTGGTATGCAAATTGAAAAATACAAATAAAATATATTATAGCTTTTACTAATTCTTTGTTGTGTGCGTGGGTGTGTGTGTGTGAGTTTCAGGAATATGGTTTGATCTGATTTAGTACTATTCTTAAGAGGTTGAACAATTTGTAAGCAATATATATTAGACAGACAGACAGACAGACAGATTTTAAAAAGTGCTTTGTGTACAGAACAATAATATTTCCCTGGTTGAAAGGGGGCATTTTCCTCCTGCTGAAATTTACCATGCCATCCTCACATACTATCATAACTTTGAGCACAATCCAAAGATGATTTTCTTGGAATAATTTCAGTTTGTTTCAACTGTGCATAACATTACGGTGAGTGTTGTTATTATCTGAAGCCTTGGCTACCGTGTCTTTAAGCTGCGGTCTTCAATAGGTAGGTATTGACCGGGAATGCATGTGAAAAATTATATACACCCCAGAATACAGGCTGAACGTTAAGTATCTTTCTTTCTTCCTCTCTCACCCGTGCTATTCCGAACTGCCGTTTGTTATCCAGGGAATCAATGTCTTCCCCACCACCGAGCCCTAATCACAGTTTGGAACATCAGAAATAATGATTGCTTCTGATCAGAGCTTGTGAATAATTCATTGGGTTTTGATTCCTCCCCCACCCCCACCCCCAATTCTGGCCAGTGATACCTTACAGGCCAAATGGGTTTCTACAGGAAAATAATAAATAATGGCCCCACTTCTTATGGAAATACAACGGCACACATCATTTCACCAACATATGCAAAAAGAAGAAGGAAAAGAAAAATACTTCGCTTCTTTAGAAGCAGTATCTCCCCTTACTTTTCCCAATCTCTTCCTTTTTTTTTTTTTTTTGCTGTGGTAATGATAGGCATGCCACCAAATAATTATTTGGGAAGATAGTTTTTTTCTCTTACTTTTTGTAGCTGGGTAAAGATATCACAGTAGTCAAAGTGCTGGATCATTTCTATGAAGCCTGACGCCACATGGTGGTGGATTACATCAAGGAAAGCCTTGTCCACAGTGATCTTGCCCCATCCTGTTAGGTCATCTAGAGAAGGCCTGTTGTGGGATCTTCCACTGTGCAAAGTGAGATGGTGTGGAGAAGAAGGCAGACCTTCTCTGTGTGGCCTCTGGAGATAACATTTCGATTGCCATCTTAGGGATACAGTGATATGGAGGGTTCAGGAGCAGGAGTTATATTATTAGGTGGGTTTTTTATGTCTGCATTGTGGTATACCAGTTGGAGATGTGATGGTTTGATATAAAAAGCTTGCAAATAGATCAGTAGTCCAGGCATGCTGATGGAGTGTGAACCATCCAGTGGGTACCAGTTTGAAATAAGTTAACGTACAGCTATTCCATGCATGACATGATGTCCTGCTAATGCATGATGCTGGAAATAATGAACATTAAGCTTAGCCAAAGATGATCACAATATCTCTATTTCTGTCAGGTTCAGCCTGAGAACCACAGCGAGACAAATCCAGGAACAGCTCAGTTACTTTATTAACTTACACCTAGTAGACAGAATCTCGCCAGGCTAACTCTAACCCCCAATGACAGCAACTAAACCCTCCGAACTCCTTAGGGTGGTACCAGTCTCCTCCTCTTCACTTTCACGTGCTCTGGTTGAGGGCTGAGGAGATGTTGGGATTCCTCTCCCACTCCCTATGACCTTGGACCTCCCCGCTTATGTCTTCCATGACAATTTCATATCATTGTAACCTAAGACTTAGTCCCTTAATACTGATAGAAGTAGGTTCTGAGGATATTTCTTTCAGCAACTGCCTCATGTTTGCATCTCTGAAAATAGATCTACAGAGCAGTCATGGAAGCAAATCCCAGTGAGTCCGTTGAAACTTACTTCCTATGGGGAAGCGAAATCATTTTAACTTAGCTTCATGCTATAGCTCAAGATCTTTAAATGCATAAAATAAACGTACAAATTTCTCTGTACCTGTTGTGTAGCTTGAACCCTCCAGGGTCACAGACTCTTCGAGTTGGTCACATCACTGGCAACATCTGGGTTTCGAAGCTAAGCAAGGTCAGGCCTGAGTTAGTACTTGGACGGGAGAGGAAATTTCAGTATTGTAGACTAAACTGGAAAGTTGAGAAAAAAATCTCAGAACAAGGCAATGGCAAACCACATCAACACCGTTGCCAGAAAAATTACATGGATGCCTCCATGAAGTCACCAGGAGTTGAGCTCCCCTTGATTTTTTTTTTTACTTTTAATGCAACCTGATTATATTTAGATTGAAATTAAATCAATGCTTTGCTCTGTCCTCCTTCATTCATAGCTTATTTATTCTGTCTTTCTTTATTTTGACCATGCGTACTAGCACACTATCCAAAGCTCAGTGAAGCCTCCACCTGAGAAAAAGTCACAGATGCCTGATGTTCATCATCAGAACAAGCAAAATGAAAAAATTCTGATGCTCTTCCAAAACCTTCCTCTTCCTGAACTGGGATCCCTCCATCTCCATGCAGCCAGCCTGTAGTAGAGTTGTTGTGAGGATAAAATGGGAGTATAGAAAGGACAAGGATTGCTGTCCCTGATGGTGGGGTTAGTTCTAATCCAGTGTTTTTCAACCTTGGCCATTTTAAGATGTGTGGACTTCAACTCCCAGAATTTTAAGATGTGTGGACTTCAACTCCCAGAATTTTAAGATGTGTGGACT